AAATGTATTCCCTCGAAATCGTTTTGCATTCAATTAAAGTGGATCATAAGGTTCAATGGGTAATCCAGGAAAAAGCACGAAACAGAGTGGCAGCAAAGCAGCATCTCCGATTCCCAGGTCTATCACCTGAGAAGCTGAGGCCAGAGTGGGTTTCAGTTAATCATTTATCTGGATACTTCAAGAAGGGGCGGGGAGGAATCTCATGCTGTATTATTAAGAGTTTAAAAAAAAAATGTTAAGACACCTCCTTTCATATGTTTCTTTAAAATAACATGAACAATAGAGGATGTTTGCAAGGAGACAATGAATTAAGGTGTTAGGGTTAAAATGGCCTTTCGCGTTAAATCAGATGTGAGCGTGCAGACGGTGGTCAGAAAGAGCTGAAAGTAAATAAATACATCAGGATAATTTTAAGGTCACTGACTGTGCCCCAGAGTCACAAAAAATTAACTTGGGACTCGGGCCACGCAAGGTTTTGCAAGAGGACAACTTCTTTCGCCATAGACGGTGCCAAGCAAATTTCAGATGAGCAGTTGACAAGGGGACCCGATCTTTTATTCCTGACACAGGGAAAACCTTCCCTTCATTTCCGCAGAAATCGAGGGAAAGGCCTCAAAACGTGCAGCCGGTAAGCTCCTAAAGCCGAGTTAAATCTGGTATTAACGCTTTTGGTGATTATTATCATCTTGATGATTTATCCGGCTCCCTCCCTCCCCCTTCCACCACCCAAACCTTAATGGAACTAGGAGTTAACGATGATTTTTTAATGTCTCGTTGGATTTTTAGACTGTTAATGTACCGCATCCTTCTCATTATTAGTTTATTGATTGTTCATTGACCAGCCCCCTTCAAATCGTATTAACCACCCTCTGCCACTTTAGATTAGGAGAGTTTAAAAAGCACCTTTCATTATTTCACCGCCACCACCACCACCACAGTAGAGTTCAGGCTTGGTAGCTTAATGCTCGCTCTAATGGGGCAGCTAAGAGACGAGGGGCCACGGTCCCTGCCTATTGCATTAATAGCTCAAAGGGGGCTAATACAGAAAATTAGCCTTAAACGAGCTCTGGAGATCTCCAAATGAAAGAGCCATTTATCACGCTGGCTACCTTCACTCCACTCGTTTGCTCTCTCTACTGGGAACAACTCATTTCCTCTTAACTAAATTACTGCAGAAATGTCAAGTAAGCTCAGATAGCAAACATAACACGAGACCGTGTATATGTAATCTATTGTGCGGGATCGATACGCGAGATAAATCGATAGCCGTGTATGAGTCCCTATATAATTTCCTTAATATTTTTGGCAACCCTTTTGCACAGATAGATAATTCCTTCCCTCTGCGGGCCTGAAAGACCATAAAGGAACCGACACCTACAGTCTGGATGGTGTAATTAAGTTTAGACTTCAAGTCCACGTCATATTTTTCGCACTATATTGTAATTAAAGCATTTTAGGCACTAAATTAGGTTTTGGTGAAGTAGACCCCCTCCAATCCTCGTCTAGCAAATATGTATCACGGGGAGTGCTCCACTGCACAAAAATCAGTCAATACCTGTCTGTCTGTCTCTGCCATCCGCCTGCAACCACGACTTACAGAGTTAAAATAACTTATTCTTACTTCAAAGTACATCCTCACAGCTACAAACTGCAGGGAACAAAGCGAAATTGATACTGAACCCTCTCTGTGTTGCTCCTTCACTCGTCCTGATTAAATATTGCCTGCCACAAATGTGACCTACTATTTATTACCCATTTCTCTTCCTCCGCACCCAGGAAACTCGCTGTGCAAAAAGAAACTGAGCTCACGATATTCCTTTATGCTGGAAAGTTTCTCAGAGCTCAGCATTACTTCTAAGGAAGAAAATACTGCTACAGCGACTCTAAAATAGCTGCAGACGGATCTCAGGATCTTTTTCAGTAACCTAATTTCCAAAGTGCATATGTATCCTGTTCATCACGGATAAACTCCGAGTATCTCTTCTGACGGCTGCAAATAGGCACATGTAATCCCACCTATGTGGGACTGTGTCTGCGGCAGCTGCTCGACCTGGGGCCGTCGCAATGCCCCTACCCAGTCAGCACACCTAAATCTGTACCTAACACAGAGAATTCTCGACATTCGCCTTTCAGTGCTGC